CTGCCATCCCAAAGGGCTCTGCCATCCCAAGGGCTCTGCCACCCCAAGGGCTCTGCCATCCCCAGGTCCCTCCCTGGGCCAGCGCCCGCCCGAGGAGCAGATGATGTGAGAGATGACAGAGAGCACAAACCACAGGTTAACACCTCAGAGTGCCAAGGACAAAGCAGCCACTCCAAGCACTTTACACCAAACTGGGTTTAAAACACCTTTTCCTTCCCTTTGCCTTTGTTAACACCGTGGAACGTCCTGGTCACTGTACCTGACCCCCCAGACAGCACCCCAGGAACTGGGATCTCCTCTGCCCTTGGAAACCTCCAGGGAAAACTGCACACGTGGTACCCACTGAAGGCAGAAAGAAAACCAGTAGCAAAATAGAAGACCTTTTCTTTTACCTGAGCAAGAAGTATTTCTGTCTTTCCATTGAACGTTTTTGCATTTTATCTGATTTTGTCTCTCTTTCCGCAGACGTTCTAGTCTCTGAGCTTGAAAAGAAATATTACAACTATAAGTTTGTCAATGAAAGTTTACTATAAACAAAGACATAATTAACTACCTTTATATGAATAAAGATGTTTTATACTGCATATGTAGGGGAAAAAGTCATAAAATTTTAAAGGTGGCACCCCTGAAAAGCAAATACCAACAAAAACATGAAAATGTTCTTGATTTATAATTGAAATTAGAGGATATAAAACATTAATAGAGATCATAAAGATAGTATTAACATGGAAGAGAATAATAAAATGTGAAAACTTCTGTGATTAATATGACATTTCATTATATAAATCATTAATAACGGTCTTAAAGGAATTTTAATGCACAAATGAACTGAAGTGAATATTACATTACAGGAATAAAATTACTGTTATGAATTACTCTACCCGTTTCAAAAATTAAAGATAAATGAACTCAGACTAGACTATTAAAGTTTTAAATATAAAATCCTTTATCTAAAAATCATGAAAATTATAAAATGTCAAAGCGATATAAATTAGCACAGCTTTTTCTTCAGTGGGCTGAAACAGTTTATAGGTAGTAAAATAAATGATTTGTATCTTCACAACATTAGTCAAATCCTAAAATGAATATAATATTTCTTTACGTATATTTTGACTCCATCTTCAAAATATGGTTGGAAGAAAAGCCCCAAATAGTTCTGATACCAAAGAACTTGCAGCCCACAGCACCAAACAACTTAAATCACCTTTTTGTTAACAGTAAGAGCTTCCTTGGGGAACAAACCTGGTGGAGGCCAGTCAGGACAATGACCCCAAGATGAGCACTGGTGTCACCAAGGGTCCACTCAAAATAAGCAGATTAGACTGGAAAGTAGAACTAACAATGCTGACCCCTGAAGGAAACAATTTGCTGGATATGTTAGCAATTTTGATGTATTGAGATAATTCATTAACTAAAATGGGTTTGCAGAAGAGATTCTGAAATGCTAAATTACTCTGATGATTTTTAGATACAATCTGAGTTCCCTGAGCCCTTCCAGCAATTAGAAAAAATTAATTAATATTTTCTATCCCTTCTGTTGTTATTCTTTTACATTTATGTCTTTAAACTGAATTGTGAACACAAAAATAGGGGTTTTTTTCCCCCATAAAAACTCTCAACCAGGGAACTGAGAAAAAATACTCCTTTGAGGTTTAACAGCTGTAACAGGCAGTTTAAGGTACAAATACAAATGGGGACTTTGATAAGTATCTCCCATTTAAGTCAACACGATATGATAACCTGAATACCTCTAGGTAGCTTCCTCTTAAAGAAATAAGAAAAGTATGTCTCCTCATGAGTTTAAATATTGGGGAAACACTGTTGTAGCATAGATATTTCATATATAAAAAGAAAAATATAAAGATATAAAGAAAAAACCCACATTTTTTCAGTTACTGTCCAGACTGTAACTCAAAATTACCTTCCAAAACCCTTTCTTTCCAAACATATCATAAAACATCAATATGTAAACAAGGGATAAAGGAGAAACTGCACACTAGAAGAAGAATAAGGCATGTTTTTACCCTGTTTGATATTTTCACCCCTTGTCAAAACAAATGTGTTTAAGCACAGTCACCATCTTCACTGACTCCATCCTCTTCTTCCACCCACAGCTGATCACAAACGCCCACGTACTGTGGGACTGTGCTACAGCAACACCCAACTAGGAATGATCAGCACCTATTAGAAATGTGAATTATTTAAGGCAGCCAGTGAAAGCTTTGGGTGTGAACAATGCCACTGACCAAATGCCACTGTGGCTTCATGAACTGCCAGCACGAGCTGAGCCTTTGTTCCCCTTTGTTCCTCCTCACCAGAGGACCCAGAGTTTGCTGCTCTCCCACTCCCAACACCTCACACAGACCAGTCTCCACCTGCCATGCCGGGGGAAAAGGCAGAAAATCCTCTCCCTTAGTGCCTCAGCCATGACTTTAGAATATGCCCCCAGCTGGCACCTGAAATGGCTTCAATCCATAATTCAACTGCTCTGCTCCCTTGGCAAGATAATCCTTCAGAGTTATGTTTTTGAAGCAATTCTATACAACTTCAAACTTTGCCTCTCCTTCCCCATGAGCTCCACCATCAAGGGAACTCTCCCAGCCCCGGGCAGCACTGGCAGCCTGGCACCCTGCACTCCCACCAGCCCTTCCTGCCACTTTGGGCTGGAACTCAGCTTGTTCCCAAACCTCACTCTCTGCTGCCCTGGCTTCCCTGGAATTTTTGACAACTTCCTACTTGTAAAAGGCATTTCAGTCTCTCCAACACCGCACACATCTCCTTGCCAAGCCAGAGCACAGAGGTGCTTTCTGAGCTCTAGGTGGTGTTATAATACCTGCAGAAACCACTGGGAAAAAATATACTGAACACAGAAAAAAAGAGCTCAGTTCTGATCACTCTACACCAACCTTCTCATCTGTATTTTACATCACAGAATGCCTGTTCATAACATTCCTCAGGTCTAAGTAGAAGTCTGGATGTCCCTGATACAAAACACCACATGGGGCAGCTTTCTGCCAGTCATGACAGACTGAGCATATTTTGCAAAGGTATTCACCCTTAAACTTTCTAATTTGGTAGCTTAAACCCTAGCTCAAGGTTTTTCTCAGAAATAAAATGTCAGGAGACAAAATACAGACAAATCATTCCCTTCACTGGCTCACATCAAACTTCATTCCTCTCTTTTATAACAGATACATTTGATGCCTCACTAGGTAGACTTTTTCTCAGAAAATAACTATCCTGTTCAAAAGTTAACACCCCTCCAGACAGTAACAATAGAAATATCAAAGGCTGTTCGTGTACTTTGGATTTAGATTTGATGTCTTTTACAATCTGAATTTTTTTTAATATATAAAACTGACTAACTCAATGTTCCTCAGTACAGGAACAGGTAAAACAGCAATTAAAGCACAGTAAAGTAACTGAATCATTCTGTGTCCTTCTACAAAAGGACGTTACAAAAGGAGGAGTTTGACAGACACCAAGCCAGTCACACTCTGATTTATCCACAAAGCCAGACTAAGAGACACTGATTACAAAGGCTGATGCTGCTGCAAACATCCCTCACCTGTGTTTGATCGTCTCCTGATCCCGAAGTCCCAGCTTGAGGTAATGTCGACTGATTGGGAATATACATAGCCCTGAGTGTCCCCGTTGCTCCCCTGTGGCTCTGACCCATTGTCCCCATATGCTGATGAGGGGTTGAACTTCTCCAGGTCCACATCGTGGTCGATCAGGACCATCTCACACATCCCCGTGTCATCGCTGGTCACGTGCGACTGGCGGATGTGCGCGAGGATGATGGTCGGGTTGTCCAGGAAAGCCATCCTGTCCACAGGGCCCCCACCTCACTGTACTATCTTCTCTCCATCTTGTCTCATGGACACACGTACCTAAAAAACAATGCACGCAGCATTTTAGGGAAAAAAACCCAAACACAAATAGCCCAAAGCCCTGATTCCAGACGGTTATTTGGGATACACAGACCCCGACTGACTCAGGGGGAATTATTTGCATTCTGCTCCAGTTTACTTAAGTTACACTGGTGGTTGAGATCCACTTAAGGAAGAGTGGGCTTGGAGGACAGCCTGAAACCTGAGTCCCAGGACAACAGAACACAACAGACACCCACAGACAGGCCTTAGTACCCTACAACACATAGTTGCTATAAGGCAAAATCCTCCAAGTACTGCACATAGGAGGACAGTGAGAAAACACACACCAGAAACATCTGCCCATTCCAACTAATCAATTTACAAAACCAGACAAGGGTTTTAGAATTCTTTTTACCCATCATAAATAACTGTTACTGATTTTCCTCTGCCTCTACACACCAACTCTTTCACTACCTTATTATTGACTCTTTTCAGTTTTTGTATTTCCAGGAAAAACTTCAAACACGAAGAGATTAGTGTCTCAGGGCAGAATATTGAACATCTGCTGCTGCATGGTGCTTCACACAGGGCAACTGCTGTAACACAGAGAAAGCTCTGTGACCAAATACCACATGCCTGAGCTCCAAAGCACTTTAACAACAGTAATTGCCACTTACCTAAAATATTTCATTCAGAACACTCCAGCGGCCTTACGAAACAAAATAGAGGGCAAAAAGGAAAGAACCCCAAACCACAAAACCCAAACCACGTTCACACTGTTATCTGATTTTCTGCAGCTGTGGATTTGTAGTTATGTCAATTTAATTCAAGCCTGGGCTAACTCTGGAAAGGGGCAACCCCATGCCCTGCCTGGCCCTGCTCCGGGAATTCCGCCACCTCCCAGAGCTGGCACCAGAACTTGTGGAGCTGTGAGCTGGACCAAAAAATGGCCTGCTGAAAATAAACTGAAAAGAAAAAAAACCAATTCCTCCTGTTCAGGCAGGGAGTCCATTGGTGACCAGCTTCAGGAGCACCAGGCCCAGCAAACCCAGGCAGCAGGACCAGCAGGATCCCAGCAGAGCCATGGGGACCCCTCCACCTGAGGGGAGGAGGCCAGGGGGGCTCGCTCTGAGCTCACACACAGGGCAAGACTGGATGTAAATTCCAGAAGTTCAAAACCCCCACTGCTTTTCTAACCAGAGAAGAACACTTTAACCTGGCTACAGAGCTCAGTGTGTGTGTTTGGGATTCTGAGCTCAGAAACACCACAATCCCCTGTCCTTGCAAAACTGCTGTCAGCAAAAAGAAAACACCACAGGAAAAGGAATGTTTCAATCACACAAAGCCACATCCCATGAAAATCTGGTAAAGGCAGCCTGCCCTTCTCCTGGCACATTCTAACAGAGGGAAGGGAAAGAAAGGACCAGCCAAGCTTGTTCCAGGAGCAGCGAACACGTTTCACCATCTCCCCTGCACACGTCCAAGGGGAAAGGTGTATGGAAAGGTGTGTTACACAGAGAGGCCTGGAGAGCAGCTTTGGCATTTAAACAGTTGGAAGCAAAAGTAAACCTTTATTTGGACACTCATCTAACCATGAGAAAAGCAAAATTGTGAAGGTTTATTGTAAATTGCAGACCCACCATCCCTACCAGTGTCCTCCCCACAGCAAACATTGACATCTTCTAATTACAACACTCAACAAATAGAGACTTACAGCCTTGAGAATTTTAGACTCTTTTTTTCTCCTCCCTTGGCCACAAATACTGTTGTGGGGTTTTTTTTTTTGAGAGACTGTCCCCTTTCTGCTTTAAAAATTATACACAAATTCAGAAGTAATATATTTAACAACAGACCCAGCAGCAAGAAGGAATTCAATAAAGGAATGGTAAAGAAATAAACCTGACATGCTGCTGGTTATTAATATACTACTGCTACCATACATTGTAATAAATTATGCTATTAGTGAAATTCACTCCAGCAGGATCCTTGGAGACCCTCAAAGCCCAACTGGGCATGGCCCAGAGCCTCGCTGGCCCTGCCTGGAGCTGGGAGCGGGATGGGATCTCCAGAGGCTCCTGCCAGCCTTGGCAGTGCTGGGAATCCATGCTCTATTTTTAATTTTCTGACTCTTTCCATCAGAGTCTGCTGCTCCTGAAAGGTCTCTTGCTGTCCCTTGTGGGAGAGGCCACAAAGGCTTGGAGAGCACAGACACAACCAGGCACAGTGCATGGCTATTCCAAAATGGGCACTGAGAATGTTCTTGGCATTGAATTCTCTCTACTCGGCTGATCAGGAAAGGCCACACGTACCTGCAAGCGGTAAAAACTTGTTTAAATAAGCAACAGCCTCAGGCACTGGAAAGGTCTGCAAACTCCCAATCAAAAATTACTGCTGCCCCATCAATGTGTCATATAAATGTTGGCATGTTAATTGTGTATTTATAAGATTGTTAATGGTTAGTTAATTTACCTCCCACACTATTATTGTACTTGAAATGATTTAATGTCTGCTGAGGGAGTTAACAACATGTAACAGCAGATGCGAGAGTTTTACCTTTATACTCTGCACCCCGACTTCCTGTCATTAACAGTCATGTGCTAAATCAGCCAAGCTTCTTCCCAACTGTACACGGCTCTTCCCAGAAACCTGAATGGTGAGAAAGTGCCAGAAATTCTGTTTCAAACTCTGAAGTTTAACACAAACACATTTTTGTCTTTCTCCTCTTCAGAATTTTCAAAGGGACACATTAAAACTAATTTATCAATAAATTAATATTAACTAGAAATTCTCTGACCAGTTAACACCCTTAAAAAAAAATCCAGAAAAATAGTTCAGACCACAAAATCCAAAATTCATTTCAGACTTTGATGTCAGATTTAATAGTTGCAACCTACACAATTCTAAAGGTTCTTCCTGGTGATAAATGATTCAATAGCACTGAGGAACAGTGACCTCCAGAGAGGGGAAAGAACTCAGAGAAACAAAGTTCAGTTTTGCAAAACTTTACACAAACACCTCCAAGGCTCCACATCATCAGTCTCTGCAAAATTACAGATCCAAGATCAATTTGTAGATCTGCTGAGATCTGCCAGCACACCCTTTCTGCACTCCTACACCCACACACCATCACTGCATCCACACAAAGGAGAGAAATTTAATGGAATTCAGGGACTTTCTGAGCATCACCAATTTATACATTCTTTAATCATAAATTTAAAAAAAAAAATTCTTTTAATACTCGTCTTATATAAATAATATTGTACTATTGAATAAATCAGTTTGGAGACAGCTGTCAAACATACTCTATGCAAACACTAAAAATTAAAAAAGCAATGTGAAAACTCTAAAATCTGAACAGTATGTCTGTACTAAAGGATACACAGGCTGGGGTCTCCATTGGCAAACACCTGTGATTCATCACACAGGTGGACAGAGCCCTTCACTTTCTTCCTGAGCTTTATTATTCATGTCTGACTTTCTGTGCATTACCTGACCAACACCCCAGGAATGAACGTGCCCTTCTCCCCTTCTCCCCGGTCCCATTGCTGTGTTCCTGAGGTGCCCCCAGGCCCCTGGGGAGCACAGCCCCCCATCAGCCTTCTGCAGCTACAGAACATCCCCAAAGATGTCAAATTGCACCATCAAGAGGCTGAACGACTCGCCAGGACTCACAGGAACTTTGTAGCAGAATCAGACAGCTGCAGCTCAGTCTACTATTTTTATCAGCAGTATTCCTCTTCCAGGACCCCACGGCTATATTTATGGCAGCGCCAGACTCTCCCAGCCAGGGGAGCAGGGCTTTATGCAGATCAGCCTCATTCATAACCCGGCACACGAGGAGGAATCCAGAGTGTGCTAACAAACGATCCCGCTCTCGGGAGGTGACACAAAGGTCTTGAAAAAGGATCTGCAGCTACACAGATTGTACCTTGAACACACAGCTGAATCTGGGGAGGCAACTTCATCATCACAACATGTTAACTGTTCTTGTGACCCCCCCGCTTGCTTGATGCACTGTGTTTATTTAAATATTGTCTCGCTTTCCTCCTTCCCCACCCAAAACCCCACCCCAAGTATTCCTATCTGCATGTTAACCCACGTCAGGTGACAAGGAGATACCAAGGCAAGTGTGAGATAAGGGGAAAGGACAAGTTAAACACATACCTCAGGACTGCCATCCCTCCCACCCAGCACAGACGGCAGCAGGCGCAGCGGGGACCCTGCTCCGTGCTGGACTGGGGGGACTGTGACCATGTGTCAGCCCTGTGTCAGCCCGTGCCCACTGCTGTTCCCAGAGCAACCCACTGACCTTGAGCACGAAAAATGCTGAGTGCAGCTTACCTGACTTTTGGGAAAACGGTTATTTTGGAGCGAATTTTCTGGCTTGTTTTAAATACTCAAGGTTGAATTTGACAAAACCCCTCCCTCTCTGGTCACTGCCCCCACACCTGCACAGAGCTGGGACAGGCTGTGTCTCACCTCCAAACCTGCCGGCACTGGGGCAGGACCCCACCCCTGCCACCCACTGCTCCCAGCCCTGCTCCCACCCGCAGGCTCCTGATGGGTTTTCCAGCAGAACCATGGATCTCACTTGGCAAAGTGACACCCGTGCCAACGGGCACTGCCACACCCCGTGAGGAGCTCACAGACTCCAGGTTAGAGACCCAACGCCCTGTGGTGCCACCGGGGCATCTTCACCTGAAGGACACTGTTCCCAAACTGCCCAGGCAGCACTGCCTCTCCATGGCACCCACCACTGGTCAGAGCACAGGGAATATTTTCCTCACACAAAGTGTTGGTATTTTTGCCTTTCATGCTTTAAAATACATCACACAGAGCACACTCGAAATTTGCTCACAGACCTCTAAATAAGCTGTAAGAAACGACAAAATCAGAGAAAACCGCAAGCAACTAAAAATGTTCTGCTGCAGGAAAGAGCTACAACTTCGAAATTCCACCAGTTTCAGTGGAATAATTTTAAGAATCCTTCAGCTCAAATGGCTAAAAGCAGATCTAAATTCTTCACAAAACTCTCAAGCCAATTCCTGCAAGACATTTTCCTCTCTAAATTATAAAATAAGAAGTGAGAAGCAGGAAAAAAAATTCCTCTCTCCTATTCTGCAAAGCTGTAGCTTGCTTTTTTTTTTTTAGAAGAAAATACGTTTTAATTCACTGCCCTCCTTAAAGAAGTAATAAACAATTAAAGCCCTATTCAAGGTAAACAAAAATATTCCAAAGACACAACTTGTGGAAGGTAAGACCTGGATCCAAAACAATTACTAACAAACTCAAAAGAGAAGGCTGGAAGAATTATATACCATTACAGGTCATCTTATCACTCAAGGGCTTCCATAGTCACTGGACTCAAACACCTCTGACTGGAGCTCTTTAAAGTGATCTTAAAAACTAATGAAAAAGATGAGCAGATTAGAAGTAAAAAATTGATTTTCCCCCCAACGTCACATAAGCAGGAACAGGACGGCATGAACATACTTCAAAATTTATGATTCAGGTTATATGAAATAATTTCCCAGTGAACTTCTGTCTGCAATTGCAAAAGAAATGGTTCTGGTTATCTGCATTTGCAGCAGCACAAATAATCAACCCCTCAAACGCAGACAGACCCTGGGCATGCAGGATAAAGGAAAGTGAACTGCAATATATGAACATTCAAGTCTGTGTTTCAGCAAAAGCTCAAGTGCATTTAAGAGTGAATACTTATCTGGAGAAGCTGTCACTCACACTCTGGGTCCTATCATTAGAAAGGAAATAATCATTTACAGTCATTTAAAGAGGCTCTCTCACAAGGGAGACTGGAATTGGGAAGTTACGATGAGCAAACACTACATTACACACAACTTCCAACAAATTATTTGTTCATTTCCAGACCTGTAAATCAATCTGGCATTAGCTCTGTATTTCTGAACTGCTTGGAATTTGGCTATATTTTTGTTGTCATATTAATCAGGATGCAAATTACACCAATTCCGATATTTTAATTATTCAGCTTTAGAAGAGGGAGAAAATATTGGGGTGTGTATGGAAAGTGTTCGCTCTCCTCCTTCCTGATCTTGTCAAATCTTCATTTAATTGCGGACAAGTTGATTCTCCACTAACCTGAGCTATCTTGCATCAAGATTTTAAGCAAATAAATAAGTATAAAAAATGCAGAGATTATAAATTAGGGCAGACAAATCTGTATCTAGACTCGTGCCTGCAAAGAGCATTCTATCAATATAGTGAAATGCTAATCTCCTAATTAACAACCTAATTAGGTAATTATGGCTTTGCAGAGGGATGCCTAAATGAAATATGACAACATGGTCACCTCTTTATATGGCACCTGTGGGCCTTTTCAGCTGTCACTGCCGAGAGTGCAATATCAATTTGAACAGATGACAAAGTGTTGTCATTTTTCATTGGGATATTGTGCTGAATGCTGGGATCGAGGCCGTTCCGAGATGCAGCATCTTGCCTGGGCTTTGCCTCATCTAAATATGTGCAAACACTTTGCTTAATTTTGAATGCCTTGATGATGCTTGGTTTTTCCTGCTGGCTGCAGGCATTCCCTGACACACACCACAGCTGCAGGGTCACACTGGGATGACCCACCACCCCCGAGCCCCCATGACCCAATTTCACAGCATGTGTACAGGAGGATTTACAATCCAGAAAAAAAATCTCGGTATTTCAGTTAATTTTTGAGGCTTAACTGTTCTGACTTTAAAGTAACAAACACAGAATACCTTTTAAATAACACATTACCACTTCCCTTTGCTCTTATTCCTGATGAAGGCTCTTTTCCAGGAATGGGGAACAGCAGTCCCTGTCCAGGAGTGGGTGAAGCTGACAGGACTTTTTCATGGAAAGTTGGGAAGGAACACGTTCAACAACAGCACTTTTACGAGGAACATGATCTGCCACTCATATGCCTAAAACGCTTTAAAGACAATTTGCTGAGCTTGAATATTCATTCCTAAAGGACATCAACCTGTTGGAGCGAGTCTGGAAGAAGCCACCAAGATGATTAGAGGGATGGAGCACCTCTCCTATGGGAAAAGGCTGAGAGAACTGAGGTTGTTCAGCATGGAGAAGAGAAGGCCCAGGGCTGATCTAACTGTGTCCTTCCAGTGCCTGAAGGGAGCCTACAAGAAAGACAGAGAGGGGCTATTTACAAGGGCCTGCAGTAATATAACAAGGAGCAATGGCTTCAAACTCATGGAGGGCATGGTTAGATATTAGGAAGGAATTCCTGCCTGTGAGGGTGGGGAGGCCCTGGCACAGGTTGCCCAGAGAAGCTGTGGCTGCCCCATCCCTGGAAGTGTCCAAGGCCCAGGTGGATGGGGCTTGGAGCATCCTGGGATAGTGGAAGGTGTCCCTGCCCATGGCACAGGGTGGAATGAGATGGGCTTTAAGGTCCCTTCCAAGCCAAACCATTCTGGGATTCCGTGATAAATAAAATACCTTCTCACAGATGGAAGGATGAAAGCACAGGCTGGAACTGCTCAAAGATTAGACCAGAGCTTCTGTTTTGTCACTTCTTAGTGGGGCATTCCAGAGCCTAAAAAATCTAATAAATATGAACATCTATGCAAGCTTCAATCTTAAAAAACCCAACAAAGCAGAAAGCTTCACCTTTTCACTGTCTATGTTGAGAGCTGCTGCGCTGGTTGGGTTTTACACACAGAGGGGTCTCCAGGTTCACGGAGGTTGCCTTGGCTGGAGCTGGGACACAGCCTGGGACATGCTGTAGGTCCAGCCAGCCCACAGATCCCCAGCACAGCCTGTGCACAGCTCTGCTCTGGCACCACAGAGGGGCTCGCTGGGCCCCGACACTGCTGTGCACTTGGGTTCCCCCGGGGTTTGGGCACTGAAAAGCAGCACCTGTCAAAACAAACACTACTGGGTTTGCATTTTCTTCTGTTTGTTGCCATTGTACTTCTGAGTGCATGAAAACATTTTTGTTCCATAAAAATGATGCTTCTTTTTTAGAATGTAACAGGGTGCAAGCTGCTTCTGACTTCAG